TGGCATAAGTGCCGTAATGTGCACCTCTGCCTACATATTCGGGGACAAAAAGAGGTGATGTTATGTTATGTCAATTCATGAAATAACGTCAATCACATTAATATTATCAATGTTGTTTTCCTTGTTTGAATGTTTGTACGTCAATCACACTGAAACTACTGAACGGATTTTGATGAAATTTGGTGTACAAGTATGAGCTGACTTAGGTGATAGGATACGGTTTATCCTGATTAATTGCTCCCATTAGATAAAACAAGCATCATATTCTACGAAAAAACATACATTTATGATAAAATCATAGCACTTTATTATTTACTAGCGACCCGCCCCGGCTTCGCACGGGTGCAATATGTATATACATACAAACCTTCCTTAAGAATCACTCTATCTATTAAAAAAAACCGCATCAAAATCCGTTGCGTAGTTTTAAAGATCTACGCATACATACGGACATACAGCGAAAGCGACTTTGTTTTATACTATGTATTGATTATTTTATTATAGTGTGTTCATATCAATCATAGTGTAATCATAGTTATTTTTTTATAATAAACGTTACCCACGTTTAAATCAAATCAAATCAAATCAAAAATGTTTATTTGCTAAAATACGGTACAAAAGGTGTTACAGTACAATTTTTTTCCAGCGTATCCTGCCGTATATGGCGTGCAAATTTATTATTAAAATTACACTATCAAGATTCTATCGTCTTATCTTCTAAATAGTCCTTAATACTATAGTAACACTTGGATAGCAAAAGTTTAAAAAGCATTTTCTTAAATAATGTCAATGGTAATTCTTGTAAACTATTTGGTAATTTATTATAAATGATTATGGACATACAATATACATTTTTTTTAAATAATTTTAATTTTATTCGTGGTAAACGAAGTCTGTCTTTATGCCGTGTTCGGCTATTTGGTCTGTCTTCCAAAGTTTCAAATAGAATGTAATTTCTTTTTACAAAAGTACATATTTCAAAAATGTATAGACATGGTAAAGGTGGGATATTTAATTTTTGAAACAGTGGTTTACAGCTGTCTAAAAAATGAGCTCCACAGATTGCTCGAATGCTTTTTTTTTGGGATTTAAACTGTCAAACACCAAGCGGTCACCGGTGACCACAACCTATTGTTCTATAATTGTGTCTATAATGACGGAACTCGACGAGTTAAAGACTCTATCAACCTCTTATTTAATATAAAAAAAATAAAATGGAGCCGAGCGCTCGCGCGGGAATGACAAGGCAATAACAAAAAGCTACCATAAAATCATTCCATTGATTTCGTCGGCCATTCAGCTCAGAATCCATTAATATCTATTAGATTGTTAATTAAAATAAATACTTTAACAAAACATTAATTCATTAGTACACACCAAAAATACTTTAATTAAGAATGTTAATCTCGCTTTATTTTGTCACTGGTACGTGATGTGAGGTCGATTCCTGACTGAAAACATTGAAAACGACAGCCCGCCTTGAGCAAGCGTGGTGATTAATGAGCAAACCTTCTTCGTGTGAGACGAGGATTTTGGTCAGCAGTGGTGCCTTAAATAGCCTTTTTTTTTTGGGACAAGCCCGCCACAACCTCCCAAAACCGCTGCAACTCCTGTACACCAGGATCTACAGTAGATCTATACAACCATGAAAACACCGGAACACTGAAGTCCGGCGCGTCCCAGGGACATGAGTAACTGTCTTGGTTCCCGCAACGAAGTGAATCAGAAGATATTATAAGAGGAGAAGAAGAAAAAACGTTTTCACTTCCCTCGGTGAATTACTGCAGGAGACAGAATGAATTAAATAGCCTGTTAATATTGTATAAGTATTTAGACAATGGGCCGGCTCGACCGGAGTGATAGAAAACCGAAGTGAAACCACGCTTGCGTTGTTGCACGTCGTGCGAGGCTACTGGAGGCCTAAATACCCGTCACCCCAATCCCCGAATCCCCAACAATCCTCAAATTCCTAACGTCTAAAAGGCCGGTAACGCACTTGTAACTAACGCCTTGGTGTTTCAGATGTCCATGGGCGACGCCGATTGCTTACCATCAGGTGATCCGTCTGCTCGTTTACCGACTTATCCTTATATTATTTAAGCCTTTTTTAAACTTCGTAACTGCTCTCTTTTCGATGTTTTTACTAACCCAATGTTCTTCAAAATTGGGTACTTTCTTTAATCAAAAATAAATTATTTCGACTCTTCAATAAGTACAATAAAATAGTCACACTTTCATTAATTGATTTTATGACCAACTTAATTTTAGTAACTTTCCAGCTAATTTTTAAGAAATAAGTACGCTGTTTGACGCTAAAAAAACATGACGTCACAATACACAATCTCGTACAAAATTCATAGAAAACTGTCGTTTTTGACAGTTCGAAAAAAGTATTGATTTTGACTTTTACCAGACCCAGTTTTTACACATAGTTCTGATACTGAGTATGTATGGAGAACAATTAAACCAACACAGCTATGTAACTAGAGAATTGTATTGTGAACCTGATTGAAAAAGAGTAACCTATGGTGTTTCTTGCTCGTTCTTCTCCATAGAAATCCATGAGCAAATAGCTGCACTTAAATTTTTTTGTTGACGTTCAAAAGTGCATTCCTGGTCTAATTGAAATAAATAATATTGACTTTGCCTGCCTCGTTGGCAGAGTGATCGCAAGTGCGATAGCCAGATCTCAGGTTCGATTCCCGGGTCAGGCAAAGTATTACTGGGTTTTTTTAATTCTCAATAGTAACACGGAGTCTGGAAATATGCCCGGTATATGGCAATAGACTCACCCCCTATTACATGGGACTCGTAACATAAACAGTGAAAAGTGAGTGTTACATTGTATAGTGGCATTAAGTACCGTAATGTGAACCTCTGTCTACCCCTTCGGGGATAAAAGGCGTGATGTTATATATGTATAATCTAAACTAAAAACAACGTAAGAGGTTGCATGCAATGCATTTAGTTTAAACATCAGACAACTGTGCACACAAGTAATAAATTGTATTATTGTATTATTCTATTATTATTAATAATAATTAAAATAACGATTAATAATAAAACTTGCGTACGCTTAAGCATGGACAAACAAACAGCTTTTGTTTTTTTGTTATTGTCATAAACAAAGAATTGTTAGTAATACTATACTGTGTTTTGAACGCGAGGTCTCTTGCGTTCAAATCTATACATATAATAGAACTGTAGAAGTGAAAACTTTGTTTATTGGAAATATTATAAAAATTAAATAGTAGGGGGTGTTACGTACTTTTTTTTAAGGGGGAAAATCATCGAATGACTGCTCCCGCCCGGGTGAGGCGGGAGGGAGTGTCAGACTCTTACTGACTAAAAACCACCCCGTTCCTACTCCTGCACTTCGAGCCGGTAACACGTTAGGTTCTCCGCGATGAATTTTACCTACTAGATAGACATCAAACTCAATAATGTGATTAAATAAATTCTTGTCTGTCTGTTTGTATGTTCACGCATCACGTAAAAACTACCGGTCCGATTACGAGGAAACTTGGTTTGATTATACTTTAATATCATAGACACAACATTGAGTACTTTTTATCCCGAAAACGTATGCACACCAAAAAACATACTTAATTGTGCGGCTCGATCCCTAGACATAGTTACTGTACCAAACGCAAATCTAAGTTTCTTAGAAATGTTAGGTTGCCCGCAGTAGGTTTTACGCTGTAACTGTTTTTTAAGGGAGGAAAATCATCTAATGACTTCTCCCGCCCGGGTGAGGCGGGAGGGATTATCAGACTCTTACTGACTAGTTGCCGTTTTTATGTGATTGTAATACAAACATACACAAACTCACATTTTCGTATCCTGAAGCCTTAGTACGAGTTCGTTTTACATTTTAAGTAATTGTAACGAGTACGCGTTCGGCGCTCTGATTGGTTGGTTCATTGGCGCCGGCCAATCACAGCGCCGAACGCGTACTCGTTACGAATACTTTAAACGTAAATGAAATTCGTACTAAGGCCTCTGTTTACATATCGTACCCTAAATTAGTTCATAGAAAAGTAGTCTCTAAACATTCCGATGTTTAGAGACTATTATAGAGGAAATATGGTCTATAATGTAGTTAGTGTAGAGCAGTCACCGGTGACCGCTTGGGGATTGAATCTTATTTTACCCCTACAGTTACAGGGTGTGGTGCATCGCGTTCGGCGCGCCCCTTAAAAAGCCATCAGACCACCACAGATGGGGCCCAATAGGGCTGATGCTGATACGGAGTCGCGGAGAACTTAACGGGTTACCGAGGCTCCGGCTCGAAGTCAGGGTTGCCACCTTTTTCTTTGGTATTTAAAGTACACTGACGATTATAGGTAAGAAAAAAAAGTACACGGTACAAAAATAAAGTACAAATTATTCTTATTTAAAAATGTATTTTTTGCTTTTTGCAGTCTGTATTAAATTAGTATCTTTAAACAATTGCATTGAAATAGGTACTAGACAATTGCATCTTTACTAGAAATTGTCTAAGTGGCGCTGGCAAGTTATCGATTCAACATAAATCGATAAATATCGATATCGAATCGATAAGTTTACCGAAAAATACTTACGACTTTAATAGAAATGAAGTTTGCAAAAATAAAGTATTTTTGCCTACTTTATTATTCTTATAAAGTATAGAGTACAATTACCTTAAATAACGTACAATACTTTATTAAGTACGGGTGGTAACCCTACTCGAAGTGCAGGAGAAGGAACGGGGTGGTTTTTAGTATTTTACTATCTTTCTTTCTTTCTTTCTTTCACATGCCAATCTTGATATAATTGCAACTGCATTATACTATACCTAATCTTATTTACAAATCCAACAAATAAATCTACCATTATAATATATAGATACCATTATAAAACTAAAGTTAACACAGCTGTTTTCAATTTCTATGCACGTTTTGTATGAGTGGAGTATATATACTGGGGTATGGTAAGCTGATCATCATTCCATCGTAGGACTTTCGTCTTCAGCTAAGATGGGAGGCATCAAGTTTATTCTTGTCATCGGCTGGCTCAGCGTGAGTATTTTAAAAGCTTAAATAAAAGGAGATTGTGATAGTCTATTGAAGGGTTCTTCTGCATAATTTCCAAGCCTAAAAGGCGGGTTGGAGATCGCAGTGTCAAAGGTTCAGGTTCATCAGAGAGCGCTGCTGCCCGGTCTCTGTCTAATGTGGAGTCAGGGTTGCCTCTTACAGAGGAAAGTACGGGTCGTGTCAAACGTAACTGCCTCATTGGCGAGAGGTCTGCCGGGCTAGGGGTCTTGGGTTCGATTCCCGGGTCGTGCAATATTACTGGGTTTTTAAAAATCTCAGTAGTAGCACGGAGTCTGGAAATGTGCCCGGTATATGGCAATAGGCTCACCCCCTATTACATGGGACTCATAACATAAATAGTAAAAAGTGGGTGTTACATTGTATAGTGGCATTAAGTGCCGAAATGTGCACCTCTGCCTACCCCTTCGGGGATAACGGGTGTAACGGGTTACCGGGGCTCCGGCTCGACGTGCAGGAGTAGGAACGGGGTGGTTTTTAGTCAGTAAGAGTCTAGAGTTTTTAGAAACAAATTTTGTAATATTATCATCCTTTTCAGATCCTGAGTGTAAGCGGGGGAAAACGTAAGTTATACAACTTTTTACTCATACATAAATACAGCTATCTCAATAATAAATTCATTGAGCAATCGCTGAAAAATATACATCTACTTTTTACTTTAAAAAGTTACCTTTGAGAATGCAAATAAAGAGTTTGAGTTTGAGTTTGAGCTAACTAAAAATTACGAATTACTCAGGCAAATATACTGAGAAAAGCTCCAGTAGTTTCGAGTCACAGTAGGACTCTTCAGCAGCGTCCGCGTTCGCGGCGAAATCGCGCAGCCTACTCGAAACCATTAGAGCTTTTCTCAGTATTTATGTGAATAACTCGTGAGTTTAGTTAATTCAGTATTTCTCACGATAGTTATTATAAAGGTAAAACATGCCTTTGATATTTTCCGTTTGGATATAAAAACACAAAAATAAATGAACAGTATAACCTACTCGGTTTATTCCGGTAGCTGTGCTCGCATGTAAGGTTTGTGTCCTAAGAATAATCCAGAATCTCTTTAAAAAGTCAGAATTACTTATAACCAACTTCTAATTCCCACAGCACCTATAAAACATGACAACAGGCGCATTCACATACAAACGGACAACAACGCCTACTCTCAAAGTGGAGTAGCCATAGAAGCAGTTGTCAACGACAAGGAAGGCACCCGAGGAAAACGATATCAACGAGACCATGGTGAATACGAATATGCAAATAAAGAACTGACAATCGACCCAAATTACATCGAAAAGAGATCAAACAAATACGAATCTACGAATGATAATGAAAATATTGGAGAATACAGCGTGAGCCCTGATGGTAAACATCGTAAATCAGCAGATATATATAGAGGTAAATATAAGAGTAAAGGGAAGAATAAGTACAAATACATTGGAGTTGATGGAACTGAGATTGAGAACGAAGAAGTTAATGAAGATGAATCTGAATCTGAGACTAAAACAACGACTCAGACTGATACTGTTGCTGTTAAGAAACCTCATCCTGTTATTGATCGTGAGTATCTTGATGTTCATAGTAGTATTATGACCTTGAGGTTTAAGACGCATGCATGAGAGTGCGGGCTCCAAACCTACCAATGACAAGTACCATTCTCCGAGTTATATATACTTTCTAAGATTATTTAGATCCCACTAACAAACGGTGAAGGAAAACATCGTGAGGAAACCTGAACTTATAATTTCTAATAATAAGTTTGAAATCGCCAGCCTGCATTGTGCAAGCGTGGTGATTAATGTTCAAACCTTCTCCGTATGAGAAGAGGCCTTTGGTCAGCAGTGGCTACTTATGATAATTTTTATATTCCTTGTAGAATAGAAACTTTTAGGTCATCATTGTGTATGTTCAGATAATGAACTCGAAGTTTGCTTTTTCGGTTGAGAGATTTAATTGAGTAATTCGGTTGAGAGATTTAAGCAAAATTCAGCAATCACAGACTGACAATGCCAATGATGTTGAAGAAGTTGGTCCTTGAGGTCAAGAATTCTGCCGAGCGAAGTTGCTTAGATTTACATACCCAAATTTTCTTTGGAGAGTACTTCAGAGTGCATAATTATGGCGACTGATGCATACTTTTGTGCTTCTGTGTACTTTTTGAGGAATTCAGAGCAGGATATCTTATTTTAGTACATAGTTCTTATCTGACAGACGAGAGATTTAAGTCTTTTGTTTTGTTTTTCAGCTGAACACACTCATTACATGCCGGTGCAAGTTCAAGTGCCCGGTAAGTACACTTCTAAATACTACTGACATTATCATCTCCATACCTCTATCCCAAGTCACTTGTTGTCTGTTCAATGTCTTGTAATTCACCGAGGGAAGTGAAAACCATAGTTTTTTCTTCTTCTCCTCTTATAATATCTTCTGATTCACTTCGTTGCGGGAACCAAGACAGTTACTCATGTCCCTGGGACGCGCCGGACTTCAATGTTCCGGTGTTTTCATGGTTGTATCTACTGTAGATCCTGGCTTACAGGAGTTGCAGCGGTTTTGGGAGGTTGTTCAATGTCTTCTTGCATTCTCCACTGACAAACCCTTTCAATTTTCTTTTTTATTTTTATATTGATGTTTTTCAACAGATGGTACGGAGAAATCGAGATGGAAGATCGTGTCAGAAAAGTTCATAGAAAATGGTCAACCTTGCATCATCATGAAAATGATTGCAATTGGTAAAATATGTTTTCATTAGTTGACTGGTCAATCTCTTTACACGAGCTGCTGTTTACATGTGAACATTAGTTCATGATGATACCTAAGTACGTGTGTCGCCTGGACAGTCACCGCTACCATCAGTTGACTGGACAATCTCTTTAGATGAGCTGCTGTTTATATGTGAACATTAGCTCATGACGATACCTAAGTACGTGTGTCGCCTGCACAGTCACCGCTACCATCAGTTGACTGGACAATCTCTTTACACGAGCTGCTGTTTACATGTGAACATTAGCTCACGACGATACCTAAGTACGTGTGTCGCCTGGATAGTCACCGCTATCATCAGTTGACTGGACAATCTCTTTACATGAGCTGCTGTTTACATGTGAACATTAGCTCATGTCGATACCTAAGTACGTGTGTCGCCTGCACAGTCACCGCTACCATCAGTTGACTGGACAATCTCTTTACATGAGCTGCTGTTTTTTATTACAGATGAACCAGATGATGAAGTTACAACGACATCCTCCACTACATCTACCAATTACAATTCACGGCATTCTTCTAACAGTATTTCTAAATACAGTAAGTACTATACGGTGACTTCTGCTCTACGCAAATTTTTTTTACATATTTTTATTTCTCTTTTTTTTTAAAGAAAAATCTTGTCTCACACTAGGATTTTCTCCTGTGTCATGGGTGCGTTTACAAACATACAAAGTTTATAATACACATCACACCCAGACCCCCAGCGGATCACACAAAGAGTTGTTCCGTGCGGGAATCCAACCCGCTACACGATGCGCGGCAGCCGGTTGCCCAGCCATTAACCGTACAATATTGCTTGGCTTTCTTTGAAAGATTTGGTCGATCCAAGCACACTACATTCAATAGAAGGCTTCGTCACAAACCAAATGATTTTGCCATTACCATATCTGAAATTCAAATGTTGATCATGTCTATCTTGGTATTGCAGAAAGTGGGAACGCTCCGACCGACCAGCCCGCAGAAGGTGACAATGGAAGAGGACCTATCTTCATTCCGATAGCCAAACCGGGTAAGTTTTGCTGTTTGGTATGTACCATTTGTAAACGTAACGCATCTAGTTTTAAGCCACGCTAGGGATATGTAGTCATGAGTAGCATTGTGTTGCAAAGGACTTGGCTAGTCACGCACCCAATACTGTAGTTGTCAGGTAGTCAAATTCAATACTTTGATTGAAATGTCAAAAATGATAGTTTTCTATGAATTTTGTATAGGATCACTACTTATGAGGTCATCTTAATTCTGCGTCAAATAGCATACTTATTTCCTTAAAATTAGCGAGAAAAAATCCAAAAGTAGGTAAATTGTCAAATCAATGGATGAGAGCATGATTATTTTTTTATTATTTATTGCATTGGAAAGTTGAAACAAATTATTTTAAACCTAGGAAACTAGCCAATTACTAGTACGAGTACTCGCATTAGCAACACAATATAATTATTTAACTAGTCGAGTACCGTCAATACAGACACAATTATAGAACAATGGGTTGCGGTCACCGGTGACCGCTTGGTGTTTGACAGTTTAAACGTTATGGTTGTACGTCATTCTATTTCCAGGGACATCACAAATTATTATAGCAGGCAGAGACTCAACGAACTGTGGTTCTGCAACTTCAACGACTTCTGTTAGCAATAGCCCTGACAGAACCAGCTACGTCACAGCCAGTAATTATAACAATGGCGGCACTTCTTCAGGACACGTCATTACTATAGAGGAGACTGCTAAACCAGGATCTGGGGAAGCTCCTATAGGAAGGAAAGGAGGAAGTCAAAGTTCTAATGATTCAGGTGACATAAGAAGTCCAAGCAATTCTGGGCCTGGAGAATCAGATGATGCATCAGGTGGCACTTCTACTGGTTCGACTGATAAAGGCAAAAGAGGCAAGCGAACAGTTAAAGATGGTAAAGGCGGATCGAGCACAGTTGGATCAGCAAGCACAGGTACTGCTGCCCATTCTGGCCCCGGAGGTTCAGGGTCTGCTTCAGGAGGCAATGTTGTCGTAGGCAGTACTAACACTGGAAACGGAGGGGGCTCAAGTACGGTTGGTTCAGCGAGCACAGGTACTGCTGCCCATTCTGGCCCAGGAGGTTCAGGATCTGCTTCAGGAGGCAGTGTTGTCGTAAGCAGTACTAATACTGGAAATGGAGGGGGCTCAAGTACGGTTGGTTCAGCGAGCACAGGTACTGCTGCCCATTCTGGCCCAGGAGGTTCAGGATCTGCTTCAGGAGGCATTGTTGTCGTAGGCAGTACTAATACTGGAAATGGAGGGGGCTCAAGTACGGTTGGTTCAGCGAGCACAGGTACTGCTGCCCATTCTGGCCCAGGAGGTTCAGGATCTGCTTCAGGAGGCAGTGTTGTCGTAGGCAGTACTAATACTGGAAATGGAGGGGGCTCAAGTACGGTTGGTTCAGCGAGCACAGGTACTGCTGCCCATTCTGGCCCAGGAGGTTCAGGGTCTTCTTCAGGAGGCACTGTTGTTGTAGGTAGTACTAACACTGGACCAACAAAAGGCAAAAAACACAAACATAGACACGGCAGAATAAGCTCAACCACGATTGGCGCAGCAAGCACAGGTAGTGCAGCCCATTCAGGCCCTGGAGGATCAGGAGCTGCTTCAGGACCAGCAAATGACAAAGGCAAAGGACACAAGCACAAGATAGTAAAAGTCGGCGGAGGCTCCAGCACTGTAGGTTCAGCAAGTACAAGCTCCGCAGCGCACTCAGGACCTAAAGGAACGGGAGCTGCTTCCGCAGGTAGTGTTGTTGTGGGCAGTACATCAACAAGCCCCGTTGTAACTATAGTCAAAGGTAAAAAGGGCAAGCTTATTTATGTCGATAAAGGGAGCTCAAGCACCGTCGGTTCAGTGAGTTCAAGTTCTGCAGTTCACAGTGGCCCAAAAGGTTCTGGGACTGCGACAGCTGGCAGTGTCGTTGTGGGTAGTGCCTCAACAGGGTCGAGGGTAACAATAGTTAAAGGTAAACATAAGAAGCATAAACATCATAAACACCCAAGAAAACGTAGCGACGAAAGTTGTTCACATGAAAGCTTAGACCAGGATGACAGTCATGACTCTAATGAAAGCAATAGCTCTGGAGATGGAAATAACAGCTCTGGAGATGGAAATAATAGCTCTGGAGATGGAAATAACGGCTCTGGAGATGGAAATAACGGCTCTGGGGATGACAGTACCGGTAATGGAAGTAACAGCTCAGGAGATGACAGTACTGACGATGGAAGTAACAGCTCAGGAGATGACAGTACCGGTGAAGGAAGTAACAGCTCAGGAGATGATAGTACCGGTGATGGAAGTAACAGCTCTGGAGATGACAGTACCGACGATGGAAGTAACAGCTCAGTAGATGACAGTACCGGTGAAGGAAGTAACAGCTCTGGGGATGACAGTACCGGTGATGGAAGTAACAGCTCAGGAGATGACAGTACCGACGATGGAAATAACAGCTCTGGAGATGACAGTACCGGTGATGGAAGTAACAGCTCAGGAGATGACAGTACCGGTGATGGAAGTAACAGCTCTGGAGATGACAGTACCGACGATGGAAGTAACAGCTCAGTAGATGACAGTACCGGTGAAGGAAGTAACAGCTCTGGGGATGACAGTACCGGTGATGGAAGTAACAGCTCAGGAGATGACAGTACCGACGATGGAAATAACAGCTCTGGAGATGACAGTACCGGTGATGGAAGTAACAGCTCAGGAGATGACAGTACCGGTGATGGAAGTAACAGCTCTGGAGATGACAGTACCGACGATGGAAGTAACAGCTCAGTAGATGACAGTACCGGTGAAGGAAGTAACAGCTCTGGGGATGACAGTACCGGTGATGGAAGTAACAGCTCAGGAGATGACAGTACCGACGATGGAAATAACAGCTCTGGAGATGACAGTACCGGTGATGGAAGTAACAGCTCAGGAGATGACAGTACCGGTGATGGAAGTAACAGCTCTGGAGATGACAGTACCGACGATGGAAGTAACAGCTCAGTAGATGACAGTACCGGTGAAGGAAGTAACAGCTCTGGGGATGACAGTACCGGTGATGGAAGTAACAGCTCAGGAGATGACAGTACCGACGATGGAAATAACAGCTCTGGAGATGACAGTACCGGTGATGGAAGTAACAGCTCAGGAGATGACAGTACCGACGATGGAAATAACAGCTCTGGAGATGACAGTACCGGTGATGGAAGTAACAGCTCAGGAGATGACAGTACCGGTGATGGAAGTAACAGCTCTGGAGATGACAGTACCGGTGATGGAAGTAACAGCTCTGGGGATGACAGTACCGGTGATGGAAGTAACAGCTCTGGAGATGACAGTACCGGTGATGGAAGTAACAGCTCAGGAGATGACAGTACCGGTGATGGAAGTAACAGCTCTGGAGATGACAGTACCGGTGATGGAAGTAACAGCTCTGGGGATGACAGTACCGGTGATGGAAGTAACAGCTCTGGAGATGACAGTACCGGTGATGGAAGTAACAGCTCTGGGGATGACAGTACCGGTGATGGAAGTAACAGCTCTGGAGATGACAGTACCGGTGATGGAAGTAACAGCTCTGGGGATGACAGTACCGGTGATGGAAGTAACAGCTCTGGAGATGACAGTACCGGTGATGGAAGTAACAGCTCTGGGGATGACAGTACCGGTGATGGAAGTAACAGCTCTGGAGATGACAGTACCGGTGATGGAAGTAACAGCTCTGGGGATGACAGTACCGGTGATGGAAGTAACAGCTCTGGAGATGACAGTACCGGTGATGGAAGTAACAGCTCTGGGGATGACAGTACCGGTGATGGAAGTAACAGCTCTGGAGATGACAGTACCGGTGATGGAAGTAACAGCTCTGGGGATGACAGTACCGGTGATGGAAGTAACAGCTCTGGAGATGACAGTACCGGTGATGGAAGTAACAGCTCTGGGGATGACAGTACCGGTGATGGAAGTAACAGCTCTGGAGATGACAGTACCGGTGATGGAAGTAACAGCTCTGGAGATGACAGTACCGGTGATGGAAGTAACAGCTCTGGAGATGACAGTACCGGTGATGGAAGTAACAGCTCTGGAGATGACAGTACCGGTGATGGAAGTAACAGCTCTGGAGATGACAGTACCGGTGATGGAAGTAACAGCTCTGGAGATGACAGTACCGGTGATGGAAGTAACAGCTCAGGAGATGACAGTACCGGTGATGGAAGTAACAGCTCAGGAGATGACAGTACCGGTGATGGAAGTAACAGCTCTGGAGATGACAGTACCGGTGATGGAAGTAACAGCTCTGGGGATGACAGTACCGGTGATGGAAGTAACAGCTCTGGAGATGACAGTACCGGTGATGGAAGTAACAGCTCTGGGGATGACAGTACCGGTGATGGAAGTAACAGCTCTGGAGATGACAGTACCGGTGATGGAAGTAACAGCTCAGGAGATGACAGTACCGGTGATGGAAGTAACAGCTCTGGGGATGACAGTACCGGTGACGGAAATAACGGCTCTGGGGATGACAGTACCGGTGATGGAAGTAACAGCTCTGGGGATGACAGTACCGGTGATGGAAGTAACAGCTCAGGAGATGACAGTACCGGTGATGGAAGTAACAGCTCTGGAGATGGAAATAACAGCTCTGGAGATGGAAATAACGGCTCTGGGGATGACAGTACCGACGATGGAAGTAACAGCTCTGGAGATGACAGTACCGGTGATGGAAGTAACGTCTCTGAAGATGACAGTACCGACGATGGAAGTAACAGCTCTGGAGATGGAAACAACAGCTCTGGAGATGGAAATAACAGCTCTGGAGATGGAAATAACGGCTCTGGAGATGACAGTACCGACGATGGAAATAACAGCTCTGGAGATGACAGTACTGGTGATGGAAGTAACGGCTCTGGAGATGACAGTACCGGTGATGGAAGTAACGGCTCTGGAGATGACAGTACCGACGATGGAAGTAACAGCTCTGGAGATGACAGTACCGATGGTGGAAGCAACAGCTCTGGAGATGGAAATAACAGCTCTGGAGATGGAAATAACAGCTCTGGAGATGGAAATAACAGCTCTGGAGATGATAGTACCGATGATGGAAGTAACTGTTCTGAAGATGGAACAAAACCAGGACATAAGAAACACCATAGACACCATCACAGACATAAAGATTCCGCTGAATATGACAACGGGGAAGGATGGGATGAAAGAATTGATGATTCAGCTGATGGCAGTGATGTTCATCGTCATCATCGCCGTCATCATAGGAGACATACTGTCATCCTACCTTGGCAATGCAAAGGAAAGATTTGTTTCTGTTGGCGACGACTCAAGTATGTGCCGAAATCTATACGAAAATTCATTTTTTAAAGACGACTTACACTTCCTGGTAGCTTACTCTTGAATCCAATTCCGATCCATCGACATTGCTTTTGTGAATTTCGTACCCTCGAGTTGCAACACTAGCGCCCATTGCATCCGTATTGCGCGGATATTGAATGAACTAAATGGTATTGAGTTTGGCTTTATATTCCACACTCTGTTGTGGTTGTATAGTGTTGACATTGAATAATTATTGAGATTTTATTGGATTGAAATTGCATTGGCATTGAGATTGGTTTCAAGAGTAAGCACCCAGATCGGCGAACGATATTTAACGAATTGAAGCAATTTTTCCTGAGGAGCTAGACAAGTGCTTATAACTATGATATTATTACATTTTTTAGGAAATAAGCTCACATTGGTCATAAATCATATCAGCCACTGACCACTGCCTCATATAGGTTTAATTCATTCTGTCTCCTGCAGTAATTGACCGAGGGAAGTGGAAACTATAGTTTTTTCTTCTTCTCCTCTTATAATATCTTCTGATTCACTTCCTTGCGGGAACCAAGACAGTTACTCATGTCCCTGGGACGCGCCGGACTTCAGTGTTCCGGTGTTTTCATGATTGTATCTACTGTAGATCCTGGCTTACAGGAATTGCAGCGGTTTTGGGAGGTTGTGGCGGGCTTGCCCACTGCCTCCCACCGTCCTCCCCATCGCGAGATTGGAAGCGACCTGCATATAATGCCTGTCGGAGACCTTTATCTCTCTTGTCATTTTCTACGCATCGTTTACATCTCTTCATAGTAGCGCAAAGTATAGATAAAAGCTATGAATAGATAACGAATGGTGATCACATACGAAGGCAGCTTTGAATATTTGACTAATTTTGGTTAGCGGTACAAAACGATTAAGAAGACCTATGAATAGTTAAAATTAGTACTTGTCTATTTCTCTTTACACTAACTGATTTTTAGCAAATTAAATTGTCATATTAACGACTTTTCAGGGTTTAAAATATCTTAAGGGCAACTTCAAGTTCTACTGCCTATATCTATGAGATCTTACAACTAAAAGCTGAGGGCATAGTACTATGTAGTTTTTTACAAGATTGAAACGTCACTGCGTACGCCGCGCCGCGCCGTTTTGAATGGTCGGTTCATTGGCCGGCCAATCAGAGCGTTGCGGACAAACTCGATCGTAGTACGCCTTCTGAACGTTCAAGTATATTTATATTTGAAGAATGTACGATAAAAGGAAGACTTTAAAATTAAATTCTTACTTTTTCATAATAATATCTCATACATAGACATAATCTTCTTTTTCGGTTTATTCCCGCGAAATAATAACGACATTGGTGCAGTTTTAGTTCTCCAATTGACTACTAGATGTCGCTAGTGTAATATTTCTTTTTGACATATAATCAAGTTTGGGCAGTTAAAATTATATATTTGACTCTGAAAGGTTGAGAATATGTTACTTATAGTGTATTATATGTGTATATAATGTATTATTAATTAATAATGTATGTATGTATGTGTTTTATAAATATGTACTTTTATTTTTAAGGAGCAAATGAAGAAAAATACCAAAAAAAATGCATTATTTGTAGTTTATGTATGAAATATTATGTTTTTAAAGAAATACCTGTAATATATTTATTTTTATCATTTCCTTTTGTTTTTCTTTACCTGGCTGTTATGCTTTTTTAAAACACGGAGTTGCTAAATATCTAAACTCTATTAAAACAATAAGTTATTTCATTACGTCTGCCTCGATGGCCTAGTGGTCGCAAGTGCGACTGCCGGGCAAGGCGTCTCGGGTCCGATTCACGGGTCGGGCAAAAGTAATACTGGGTATTTTAAAAAAAATCTCAGTCACGGAGTCTAGAATTACGCCCAGTGTATGGCAATAGGCTCACCCCCTATTACATGGGACTCATAATATAAATAGTGAAAAGTGGGTGTTACATTGTACAGTGACATTAAGTGCCGTAATGTGCACCGCTGCCTACCCCTTCGGGGATAAAAGGCGAGACGTTGTGTGATGTTAGTTTATAAAATTATTTACATAACACTAAAAATGGTACAGCAGGCAAAAGCAAATAATTCTCAAAGTAGGTAATGCTACAGTTATCCTTATTACTTCTTAGTACATGAGTAGTTTAAATGATATGTCATGTCAACCAAGATATTATCACGTTCAGACAAGAGACCGTTTGACAACTATATAACTAACCTGTTTTGTACAAATGCAGTCATGCAGTGCAATAATTGTAATACATACCTACTAAGCTAACCCAAAGGCAAGTACCAATGTGACTTTTTCCGAGTTATATGTACTTTCTAAGATTATTTAGACACCACTGACAAACGGTGAAGGAAAACATCGGGAAGAAACCTGGGCTTATAATTTCTAATTGTAAGTTTGAAATCGCATACCCGCATTGAGCAAGCGTGGTGATTAATGCTCAAACCGTCAAATTCAAATTCAAAATTCAAAAATTCAAAAATGATTTATTTGCGTAAATAAGGTACAGATAGTTGTAATTTTGTAATAACTTACGTCCTCTTATTTTGCCTTTAACATCGGCGTGCAAAAATAATGTAGATACTTTACAGACTTGTCAAAATTTTGTTATACTCTCAAAGAAAATTACAAATTTTTTTTTTTTCAATTAAAATAATAGTTTCAAAATTAAAATAATGAATGTTATAAAAGAGTAAATGTCACAAAATTAGCCCAAAATGTCATAAATGTCACACACAATATTCTATAAATGTCAATTTTACAGGAATGTCACACATATTATAAAAATACAATTCATTACAATTCACAAGCCATTAAATATTACAATTTATAATCTAAATACTCAAGCACACTGTAAAAACATTTGTCAATTAGCAGGTTTCTTAAACCTCGTTTAAATTTATGAAAAGGTAGTGCCTTAATAGAATTTGGAACTTTGTTATATAATTTAATGCACATAATGTAACTGTTATTTGATGTGAGTGTGAGATTTGTTTTAGGTCGATATAATTTGTTGGCATTGTGAGACCGTGGAGCGTAATAACTTGCCGGATTCTCAAAGAGTTGCTTATGCTTAAAAACAAATATACACGACTCGAAGATGTAGAGGCAAGGCAAGGTTAAAATTTTGTATTTTCTAAAGAACGGGCGACAGGAATCTATTTGTTTCAACCCGAATATCGCTCGAATACACTTTTTTTGCATTATAAATGCTTGTTCTATCTCAACACATCGACCCCAAAGAATAACCCCATATCGCAATATGGAGGATATGTATCCGTGATACGCAGTCATTGCGGCCTCTCTTGATATTTCACGGCTGATACGTCTCAAGGGATAAACAAAACTATTAATTTTACCACAAACATCTTGCACTTGATTCTTCCAAGAGCAGAACTTGTCTAGTGTAATCCCAAGAAATTTTACTGACTCAGCTTCTGACAGAGCTATCCCTTTATACATCACATTTAATTCGGCGGGTTTATTCCTGTAGGTATGAAACTGAATGTATTTAGTTTTATCTATATTAACTTTTAGGTTGTTCCCTTCTAGCCACTGTACAGTTGTCTGGAGCACGGTGTTTATTTCTCTCTCATAAGTACTTTTATTCTTACATTTTACGACAATAGTAGTATCATCCGCAAATAATACACATTCGTGGTTTATGACATTTGGAAAGTCGTTAATGTATAGCAAAAACAATGTAGGGCCCAAAATACTACCTTGAGGCACACCGTATTCATTTGTCAAAAAAGAAGAACGATATAGTTCACGTGTTTTGGATATCTCATTATAACTTGAGATCTCCACCGCCTGTGTCCGATCAGATAAATATGATTTTAGCCAGTCGTACGCTTTCCCTCTAATACCGTATCTATCAACCTTAGCTAGTAAGAGTTCATGACTTACATGATCAAATGCCTTGCTCATATCCATAAAAAGCACTGAAACCGGTATTTTGTTGTCAACTGAGTCCATTATTGATCTCACTAACCGAAATGCTGCCAAAGATGTGCTTCTGTTTCGACGAAAACCATTTTGTTCATCCCTTACAATTTTATGCTTATCTACAAAGTTAATTAGTTTTTTCAGGAAAACCTTTTCAAAAACCTTTGCGAATATAGGTATCAGTGTAACGGGTCTGTAATTATCCATTTTAGTTTTTTCCCCCTTTTTATACAATGGCTTGACTATTGACCTTTTCAGTACATCGGGAAACTCCCCCTCCTCCAATGAGAGATTAATAACGTATGAGAGCGGTTTTGAGATCACGTTAGCAGATAATTTTACAATATCAGTACGAATATCATCATAGCCCGTAGCTTTTGAATCGTTAAGAGTCCTTATTATGCTTTTTAAATCGGTTTCGTCAATAGGATACAAAAAAAATGAATTATAAATTGATTGTATATTATTAATATTATTAGAAGTTGTAGATTGTTCTCCGCCTGATCTAATTTTCGTAATTACGTTGATAAAAAAGTTATTAAAATGATTTGCAATAGATGCAGGACTCACATAATCTCTACTGTCAATTGTTATCTTCGAAATACACGTATTCTTTAAATCTGCGTCAGTGTGTTTTTTTATAATATTCCAGGCCGCTTTACACTTATTTGGAGCTCTATTTATGTAGTTTGTGTTGTTACTCTTGCGCGACGTCAAAATGCAATTTTTCAATACGTTACAATATTTTTTATAACTATTTTTGTGTGTTTCAGTACTGTTGTGTTTTAATTTATAATGTAATCTACTTTTGCTTCTACAACTTATTTTTATACCTTTTGTAAGCCAATTTGATTTGTTTAGTGTTTTGTTAATTTTTTTTACGCGGATTATAGGAAAACATAATTTATAAAATAATAAATAGGTGTCATAAAATTTGTAAAATGATTCGTTTGTGGATTTTGCTTCAAATACGTCATGAAATGATAAGCTAGAGATTGCTTTTAAAAACTTTAACTTATTTTCAGTACAGTAATCTCGTTTGAGTTCATACCACCATTTCAACACTGGTTGTTTTCGTTCGTTAATTCTCCAAGAGTAAGA